TGAGGCGAGGCAGGAAAATTTTAATTCAAGACTGCCTGTGCTTTGCAGTCCTAATGAAAGCCAAGGCCTTCCCTTGCCCATTCACTGAAAAACACTTTATGCCTAGATTTCCTTTAATTTTTTTGGTGTCCAGCTGGTGGATCAGGACCCATTATTGGCTTTGGACTGATACAGCACATAAGTATAGGTTAAGAATTAGGTTGCCAGAGTGCATGCTTTACCTCAGGGGGAATTTTCTGATCTCCAGCATCTGCTGAAGGCTAATACTTTAGCCCAAGGGCAGATAATATTTACTTCAGGAGCAATAGGTACAGCTGGGTTATTTTTCAATAATTTTGATAGGAATGATTCCCAGCCTAGTGAGTGTAGGACTGCAGCCTATCTTATAGCTCAGGACCCATTATTGGCTTTGGACTGATGCAGCATATTATAGGTTAAGAATTAGGTTGCCAGAGTGCATGCTTTACCTCAGGGGGAATTTTCTGATCTCCAGCATCTGCTGAAGGCTAATACTTTAGCCCAAGGGCAGATAATATTTACTTCAGGAGCAATAGGTACAGCTGGGTTATTTTTCAATAATTTTGATAGGAATGATTCCCAGCCTAGTGAGTGTAGGACTGCAGCCTATCCTTTAGCTGCTTTACAATTTTTGCAGTCCTCAAAAAAAAAAAAAAAAAAAAACAGAAACAGATAACTAAGAAGACAACTGAAAGGAACTCTAAGACATACATGTTCATGCCTCATTTTGTTTTATTCCTTATTTTATTGTTTGTTTATTTTTATATAGCATTTTGTATGCATGAAATGATGCAGTGTCCTTATATTCTCACAATGACCTTGTGTTGGAGGTAGAGAAGCAGCTTTGCCCAAAGTAAATAATATTTCTGTAGGACAATGCGAGGATTTGAGCTGGATGGATGATGCTTTCTAAGTGTATCCTCTATAAACAGGCAAAATTCTACCAGTGAACACACTCATTGCTCAGCTTGGTTAACAGAAGGGAGCTGGGGCATTTTCCAGGTTTTATCTCTTTTCCTTGCCCCACAATCCCCAGCAACCTTTTCTCCATCTCTGTCAGGCACACAGCTGAGTGCCAAACCGCTTTTTTTTTTTTTAAATGACCAGGTTTGGGGAGGGTGGACGCTCTTTTCCTGTTCAATGCATCCCTCTGCTCTAAAAACAAATCAAGAGAGCCCTGTTGAATCAGACCAAAGATCTACCCGGTCCACCATCTTGCTTCTTTCCCATAGTCGCCAACTAGCTACCCACAAGAAGACTGCAACCAGTGTGTTTCCTTATCAACCACTATTAAGAGGCAGACTTCCTCTGATCCTAGAGTCAGCATGAAACCATCAGTATCCACATGGTCCATTAACTATCTAATCTCTGTTTATATGGTGTGAAGAAATCTCTCCAGCTGAATTGGATGGCCCTGAATTCTAATGAAAGAGGTGGGAAAATGCTTATGTATTTCTCCATATCAACATACGCAGCCGTCACTGCAAAAACAAAAATGTCTCCCAGGAAACATGCCTTGTTTACTGGCATCATTGTACTCCCACTAGGCTGTCAGAAAACAGTTCTTGAAGGCGTACAAGACCTATCTTCCCCACCTATCAGAAGAACTGTTGGGATTTTGGGGTAGCAGGAGAGAGTGAACCCTGACATGTTCCCTCCTCCAGCTGCTCATCCCTGATAGTAAACCTCACTTCATACTATAACCACTGTATTCTTGCTGGCTGTTATTAACCAGAGAACACCACCCATTATCTCCCTTCATCTGTACCACATTACACAACGTTATGGCCAGATACACAAATACAGTTCTCCATTGGCCATTAGTGAATAAGGATTGATTTTTGTCAGAGTGGTTTCCCAATCATTATAGAATGCTGCTATTACAAGAATAGGAATCACTCAAAAAAAACCATACACTTACTTTTCCCCCACAGGCAAACGCTTCTGCCACCTTCCTGTTCCGTCCACCGTAGCATGTGGTAATTAGATCTGCAACCCCACAACTTTCCAGAAACGTCTCTATTGCAACAGGGCCTTTGCAGAAAAGTTTTGCAAAGGAAATCATCTCCATCAGGCCCAGACGAATCACAGCAGCCTTGGTGTTGTCACCAAAGCCCAAGCCATCACAGAAGCCAGCCCCAACAGCCACAATGTTCTAAAGCCAAGTGGACAGGAAGAAGGAGAGAAAGGTTGTGGGAAAGACCGTCATTAAGTAGCCTGTACTGATTGCAAATTGTAGTAGTGTCAGAATGCAGACTTTGGCATACCAATAGTTAAAAACCATACGTGATCAGAGATGAGGTGATTCCTGCATCTGACACTTGAAAGTAAGGGAAAAGGGTAAGAGATAGGAAGGTGGTGATCCTTGTTATGGAACCATTCTGACATGTGAATTATTATGTATTTTGCAAAATTACTGTTCAAGCTTTTGATGTTTTGTACTTTCAGATTGTGAAGTACCTTCCCATGTTATTTTTCTATATAAAAGTTTTTGAGAAATGTGGTAGTCTGAAGCTTTAAATGAGAAAGTGGCTTTTCGACCAGACCAGATGGGTGGGATATAAATCAAATAAATAAATAAAATAAACAATGAACCATACAAGGATCAGTAGAGGCAGGACTATGTTCAGATACGTCAGTTAAGTAATTAACAGCACTAAGATTTTACTTAAAATAAAAGTGCCTTCCCACACAAGCTGATGCTTAATGTGTTCAACAGGATTCAGGATTATCATGATCTCTCACATTATAATCATGGTCCTTTGCTTTTGCATGTCCTGCAAAAGGTCTGTCCCTTTCCTCCTGCTTTGCAATAAAATTACAGTAATGAATTTAAAGCCAACAATCCGTGGCACCCATCTCACAACATTTGACATGTAGTCCCAGCTGAGACTGGTCCCCTACATGGCTGGAATTAAGAAAGAAAGGGAGTCTCCCCTCCATACTATATATTGAACACAGCTTGCAGTTTAGTCTTACAGAGACACTTGGTTCAGAAACATACCTAAGAAATAGCTTGTAATTAGAATGGACAGCAGGTTAATGTTGCAGAGAGGAGACTAAGGTTATATTTTCTGGGTTTATGAAATCAGACTTCAAAGGAATTCCATACATCAAGTCTTGAAGACCAAGTATGAGCATTAGCCAGCTAATTTAACTTGCAGAGTTGAGTAAAGCTCATGCCAGGACACATGGATGCTTTCAATATTTAGGAATTTTCCTTTTTTTACTGATTGGCTGTCTCTCAGTTCTGTTTCTGGCCCAAGCAAGTGGTAACTGTAATTGCCAGTCCTAGAATTGTTGCTACTATCACAGCAATTGCTCCCGTACAGGGCATGGAACTGACAAGTGACATGTTCTATTTTGTCCACTTCCTTTGGAGAGAAAATTCGCAGGAGAAATGCTTCTCCATTCTGAACCCTATGCTACAGGTAGATGATGTACTTTTGAAAGAGAGTTAAAAGGTGATCTGTGGAACCACGTGAAATTAATTCTCCAATGGGTGTATGATAATGGAAAAGGATGTCCGTGATGGTGACTCATGTATATTTGAATTGGCTGCAATGATTATCTTCATTAACACTAGATTTGCTGCTCAACTGCAATTACTGGCATCTCAAAGACTTTTTTTTTACTCAGAAGTTGGAAAGAAAGTTCTCTCACTTTAGAGAATACAAAGTGAAAAAAGCTAATGAATGAGCAAACCTTCAGTGTAACAACCTAAGAGTATTTGATCTGAATTCACTAACTTTTAAGGCACCACAGAGCTCCACGGTGTCACAGTCATCCACCACAGTAATTCGGAAATTTTGGGTTTGCATTAATTCTTTATAAAGCTTCCCACTATCAGGATTTTTACAACCTAGAGAAAGAAACAGAAGCAATTAGGATTCAGGTGTTGGCTAAATAGTTTTTGAATAGAATTGCTTTCATTTTAGGATATTTTTAAAAAAGGATACCGATGTGTACTTCTATTTGCTAGATGTACGCAAATGTTATATAGAAGAGGAGATTGCCTACAATGGTTTCACAGGGGAGATTTTAGCATTCAGCAAATGTTACAGCCATAGAGAATTCTGAAGTCTGATTACCATGGAAATTCAAAACTAGCTTCAGCATTCTAACACTATTAAATAAGGGGAAAAAACCAACACTTCCTAGTTCCCGTGTTAGGGAGAAATGGGCTGATCTTGCCAGTATGAAGGGCTGTTTGCATATTTATGGCCATGACCACGAGTCATTTACCAATGGTGGTTTCACAGAACATTTCATCTGCCACTTCATTCGCGATGTTGGCCCCCATGAGCACGCTGACTTCAATCTTTAGTTTCTCTCGAATAATGTCCGATATGAGTTTCAGTCCATCTGGGGTTTCTTCTATACCCTACATATGAGAAAGACAGCAATCAAGGCAAAGGTTTTTAAAAGAATGCATCTTGTGTTTCAGTGGCTGAACCATAAACCTGATTGCAGTATTAGAAATTCCAGGCTATATCTTCTAGAGAAATGTTGGAGAGCTGTTTGGAGAACATAGCACACAGCTGAGAGCAGAGTATCACATGGACACAAGTCTCAAGTATTCTATGGTGTAACTCTTCAAGGCACCTTTGTCTTTATATATTGTGAGGTAGCCATAAGCCTGATACTACACAGAGGTATACTGCATTCAGAATGCATGCAGGGTAAAGAAGTGGTGGGGGGAGCAGAGTGGGAAGAGCAGAGACTATTACTAGAATTAAATGCTGGGAAATTTGACACATTGAGTAACCCTGTCACGGTGTGCTTTCATTTGGTTCAATTGCAAAATCATTACATTTAATTATTTAAACTGAGACACGTCATCATATTGAAATTAAATTCAAATGCACACAAGATATCTTGTAGCAGTAAATATTTTAAAAATATTTAATAGTACACTTTAAAAAGTCACAGCCAGAATAGGCCCATTTGAATCCATGGAACTCACAGAGGCATTCATTCACCAAATCTCCACAGAGTCAAATGGCCTACGCTGGTTGTGACTTACTACTAGATTTCAGTCAGTGTAGCATTTGAAGTACTGTACAGTCAAACCTCGACTTATGAATGTCTCCACCTGCAAACATTTCGAGTTATGAATGGATCTGCTTGTAAAAGTTTGAATCGACTTTCGAGCAGAGCATCAACTTACAAATGGAAAAAGGCAGGGGGAAAGGGTGGGAAATTCAAAACAGCCTCCTGGGCTTCCAGCGCCACCCTTTTTCCCTGCTTTTTTCCTTTTGGAGGCTTCCCCAGCACCATCAGAGGACTGGCGCCCCCCCCCCCCCGGGCCCATTTCCCCTTTCAGGGGGCCTCC